GGATTTCAGTGGATTTGCATAGTAAGCATCAAATAAAAAGTTAAAAATGTATTACTTGCTCATTTAATATATGAAGTTTTTAGTTATGATATTCCTTAAATCATTCTGCATAAATTTGCAGATTTTTTATTAAATTATTTGCAGAAATAGCAAAAAATATCGGCAGATTCTGTCTGACCCTAGCACCATAATCATATATATATATATATATATATATATATTTTTTTTTTTTTTAATAAATTTTGAAATATATGTAGCATGTACATATGATATATTTGATTCCTCCACATACCACTGGAAGAAAGCCCGCGTACCACAGTTTAAGAACCACTGTTCTACTGAATAAATAAAGGCTGATCTTGGATCCCTTGTAAATTAACAGGAAACGTTCATCGTTAATTGAACTTTTCCTTTAATAGAGCAGTTCACCAGAAAGATATAACGGGGTGTTGAAAATGCTGTTTACACTAGTCATGTTCATTATGCATCTGACATGATTCAGTGAGTGCGGAATTCCAAATTTTTAACCCATTATTGATAATGTTTATTTACTTGTGTAAAATTATATTTATTCAGTTTTTAAATTAATTTCTGTAAAATTATTGACTAACATGAAAATGTTTATGAAAATTATTCACAATACAGTTTGTAAAATAATATTTTCTGTCTTTCAGGAGATATATGACAGACTTGCTTTGTTTACCAAATTAAGTGGATCTAATTGAATTTGCATTGTAAGAATTAAATACAAGTTAAAAAGGTATTATTTTTTATTTTATATATAAAGGATTTAGTTGTCATACTCCCATCATTACACTTAAATCTGCAGATTTTTAACAAAATTCTCAGCAGAAATAGTAAAAAATGTCTTCAGATTCTGTCTGGCCCTAGTCATGACGAAATGGTGGGTCTATTTCCACATGGCAAGCTTTGATGCAGAGGGTGGCTTGAATGAAGGTCTGTGTGTTTGGGAGTCGTCCGATCATAATGAGTAATCCTGTCTCTCCAGGAGATCCTGCTCTACATCTGGTCCTGATCAAAGCTGGTGCAGTCAGCTGTGAATCCAGCCACCGCAGGCCTGAATGCACAATACAGCAGAGCCTCGAGGTGAACGACAGACCATGGTTGAAAAACGCACACATACAAGCCTCTACACAATAAAAGAAAAAGGTCATACACAAAGAGAGGGACAGATCAGGGCTTGACAATAAGGACTGCCTGGTGGCCTGGGGCCAGAGAGAAAGACACTCTGTACATTTGGCAAGTGCTGTGCAATGACAAAATCTGATATGCTTACTGACATTTTCCAAGTGGAGTTAACAATTTTAGCACAAAATCTAAAAAAAGATCACAATTCGGTGCTCATTATTATTCTTTACAAGGAAGCCAAAATGCTTTCATACATGTGATTTGAATGACGCAGAAGGCAATCTCTCTGCAAATGTTATAAATTTTGGATTAACTTAACATGTTCAAAAAAGTTGTTATTCCATGGGTCACGTGCATTCTGAACTGTGGGTTGTGATCCATACGGCAATGTTATTATAGGTAATGAAAACAAATGAAAAAACGAAAACTAAAATATAAAATCATTGCCGTTAACTGAAATAAAAATAAAAACGAGAGTTTTTCAAAAACATAAAAAAACTACATTAAAAACTAACTATAACTAAAATAATAGCAAAAACCTCCTTCGTTTTCGTGTTTGTAAATGTATTTAATACATAATCTCACTGAAAGCCTTTTAGAGATAAATGTAATCCACGCTGCAGGTGTTTGTGTTTGACACTTTTGCACCTCAGAGTCTGTAATCCTGCTGCCATTAGCCAGATCATGACAAAAACAACCAGTGGACATGACAGCAGCACGGTGACAGCGTTAAATACAGACACTTTAAACTATTACTTTAACACATTTGTGCCCAATAATGGGTTTTATTTCTGTATCGCGATTGCAAACAAATCCTTTTAACCGGATCTTTTAAGTGAACCGGTGGAACTAGTTTACCAAATTAAACTGAATCATTTGAAACAAATCGCGTCTCAAGTAAGCACTTATACACCAACTACTTACTTTATAACAAGCCTAATACCCCCCTCTGACTCTAAATAATCCAATATATACTCTCATTCAGTTATAAAAACAATAACGTAACATTGAGAAATGGTGAACCGATAATACTGCGCATGCATGATTTAGTGAACCAAACACAAACACTACAGCCTGCTGTGCGACTGAACTGAACTTGAAGAACTGCAGCGCAGGTAAACCAAGGGCTTAAATGAGAGGATCTGGCAAAAAAACGTATGTTGACAATCGTAATGAAGTTTAATTAAGTGAATCATGATTCAGTTGGGTTGCAAAACCTTACTGTAAGACATTTTTCAGATCATGGTGATGTTTTAACTGACTGAAATTAGTATTGCTGACTACAATGTTGAGTCCTAACATCCGCGTTAAACATCTGAACTTCCAATCACCAGGCCCGGATTGATAAATC